TTTGTCCATCTTTTTCCGCATGAATAATTTCATCTAAACTACACGTCGGAGCTTATTACGCTTGAGATTAGCAGGCGTTGCGGATCTACTTAACAATCCCCCCTATTGTATCTACTAAAGAATCTCCACCCCCCTTTCTTGAAAGGATGGGGGGGGGGAGAGGTTTTTAAGTAGATCCGGCGTTACATCTAAATTACGATGGAAACTTTTATGCACAGTGTGTCTGAGAATTTGTGTCTGGTGAAACAAACAATCTGGTGTAAATTTGAAACAAACAATCTGGTGTAAATTAGAGACAGATAAATTTTTAAAATTAACTATTAATTTTGTAGAAGGGATGATTTGAAAAGGGCTTCACATATGCCCTTCAAGTTTTTACAGCATGTGAGCAGTTGAAATTTTTGACGTGAGATTTTGCCAACAATTCATAGCTCATGGAAGCTGATTTAGAGAAAAGTAGGTTGGGCGTCTGGATTCTCCGCTAAAAGACAAGAAATTCAGCTGGACATACAGTACAATTCTGGTTATCTTTTAATTTTCTTCAAGTAATTGGCTTCAAAGTCATTTGAAAACGGACCATGTTTTTCAGCCTGGACATTAGGTATAATTTGTACCAAAAAACTTCTACTTTTCTGATTGCGAACCTGAAATTACTTTTGTATTTATTTTTAAGTAGTTGATCAATTGTGTGTTTAGCTGCTGTTCTTTGTGTTCCTGATCCTGTACACGTACTTTGTGCTGGGAGAGCTGCCCCACGAGCAGCCCTACATAGAGATAGTGCTCGCCTTCTTCGTCCTTTCCATCACAACCGAGGAGATACGACAAGTATGCAGTCCACATCAGGGGTGTTCAAAATTACATGCTATTAAATTAATTGCAATTGTTTTAATTGATTGTTGAACGTCTCAAATTGCAATTAATTGATTGATATTACCAATTAATTGCAATTAATTGGTGTTTTTATCAGGGGCGGTATTAGGAAATTGACCCCCTCATCAATTCTTGCCCACATCAAATTTTTGAACACCCCTGGTCCACATCTTGCTATCATTTGATGCTCTTCCTTTCTAAATTAGTACACGTTTCTCGTTTATGTATCATAAATATGTAGTTAGTCCATTTGTAATCGACTTATTAAGAGCAATGAACGCAGTGAGTACTCTTATATAGGTCTTGCTGATTTTTTAGTTTTTTCAGGAAAGTTCTTAGTTTGTTCAGGCTCAAATCTACTTTTCACGGTCTGACTTGATTTCTTTTCAAGTTAGTCCTTTTCTTTGTGAAAAGGAAGGCAAACTCCACTATCGAACAGCAAAATTGTTAAGGTCACGAAAAACGTAATCGACTTCTAATTTCGAAAATAGAAATTAATTATCAGACTCGAAATAAAAGTTTAACCTATTGATCCAGTTTTCTCAAATTGGGTTAGTTGTAACAAAAAAGTATCCATCATAAATTGTTCCACAAATTCAAAGAGTTTTAAGGCCATCTATTTTTTCTTAGAAATTGAAAAGTTGAAGGTTTTGGAAAAAACAAGTTAGTTTTTTTTTCAGTTTCCTTGCCTTAATTACTCTTTTCCAACTGTAAGTTGGCTATATTTGTGTTTAACAACTATCTAGTTCAGTGTTACTCTGATACTTAACTATAAGAAGCATTAGAACGGTTGCGTAAGCATAATGAAACGGATTTTTAACATAAGAGACGCTTAGAAGCGGATACTCTTAAGATGTATAAGTCGTTGGATAATCTCGCCCCATTTCGTTTGTACTGAAATTAAATGGGAAACCTCTAAATTTTTTTATTCAGGTGCTGACTGAGAGTGGGAAGCTGGCGAAGAAACTAACTGAGTACTTCACCAGTATCTGGAACTGGATAGATGTGTTCGGAGTGACCTTGTTCTGGGTTGCATTCGGGATGCGCTTCATCCCCGATGACACTGTCCGCAATGTTGCCAGGCTGCTCTACATTCTTGACGTGTTCTTCTGGTTTATGAGGGTGCTGAACATCTTCACTATCAACAGGAAACTTGGACCCCTCGTCACCATCATCCTCACCATGGTTCGTTTGAGTTTCCCTTTTCATGCAACTTAAAACTTCTATGATTTTCTTGTACTGCAGAGAAATTTTTAGCTAGGTGCAATATCAGGGTGGCCACGGTATCAGTGCGGTCAGTGCCAAATCAATGCGAAGCGTGATCTGTCTGTGCCATCAGTGCCAGCAATTTATTGCCAGTTTTTTTCATCGCGCTTTGTTACCAAATCGTTCAAAATCAAAAATCTATGAAAGCTTACACAGTATAAGTTTTTTTTTCAGTTAGTATGAACAGCTCTGAGAAGAAATTAATTGGGTCAAAAAAGTTGGGTAAAAAAAGCTGGGTTAATGAAAAAAAGTTGAGTCAAAGAGCCGGACAAAGGCTGTTTTTACGCAAGCAAAGCTTGTGTTATAGTATGAACTCTCTTTTTTTGCAACCTAAGTCGCAAATATTGTTGCGACGCAAATATGGTTGCGACAAAATGTGTTCATTTTGAAAGTATTCATTTTGATGCATAACCAGCTATTAAGTACAGACAATGCTAAGGATATTAACATTGATTTTTTTTCTAGGAATAGCACTTTAGCGTTAAGGTATCATGGATCTGTAGCGTAGAGGTAGGGAAGGGGACCCGCAACAAAATAAGAGGGTTCGAATATGGGCAGGGTCGGATGTTTAAATGAAATTTTTCGTATACTAGCTAAAATAGCGTCCGCTGTATAAATTGAGGCATATTGGTTGATTTTCTTTTTTCAAATCGACTGGAACTGCTAATGCGTCATAAATGACTTGCTTCACTTAGCAGATATATAGACTCTTAATTGTCTCGCGTCACGTAAGAAATTTTGTAGACTCAATGTTTTACTCAGTCAGTTTTTTATCAGTAGCGTTATCGGTCATCTTTTTGCTTGTGTAGGCGAAGTGCAACTTCGCCTCTGTGTCAAAAAATGCCAGTGTACCTGGCATTTATTTTAATCATTGCGAGTATCAGTGCCGTCAGTGCCTGCGATTTCTTAGACACTGTTGCGACACTGAATATTGTCACAAGCACAATAGTTGAAAAAGTTCCTAACAAGTGGGTTTTCTCAATTCGAAAATCTACCTCTAAGGAGTGAGAGATCCATATCCTTTTTTCCCCGCTTAAACCTATGTAACACATTTGTATCGATGAACCTTCTTCAGACTCTTATATGGGTCGCGATGATTTTTTTTTTTCGTTTTTTTTCCAGGAAAAGTCTTGAAGTTGGTTAATGCTCAAATTTAATTTTCAGCTGTTTGGCATTCGATTTTTAGAAGTTCAGTTCAATTCCACTGTTAAAAGGAAGGCCAACTCGACTATCGAACAGCAAATGATTAAACATGATCGACTTCTAGTTTCGTTATTACAATTTTATTTTCAGATTTCCCAGACAAATGAAAAAACTAATTTATTGATCCAGTTTTCTGGATTTGGGTCAAATTTTATTGAAAAAATTTTAATTATAAATTTTTCTAGAATTTCAAAGAGCTATAAATGCATCTATTTTTATCTTTGAAAATCAAAAATTGAGATTTTTTTTTCAAAAAAAAAACAAGTCGGTATTTTTTTTCTGTTCAATTGCGTTAATTTAATATTTTCCAACTACCTGTTGGCTATGTTCTTCTCAGACAGCTCAAGGCTTGCATTTGAGAACCAGTTTTCTCTGCGCTTTTAACTGCCTCCAATGCTTTGTAGACTGCAATGAGAACCCGAGCAATTAAAATAATTTGTCATCTGCATAGATTTGAAGACGAATTTTAAAGAATCTTACTCATAGATAATCTATCCTTGGGGTTCTCCGTTTGTTGCTGGCAGGCCTTTCGTCATGATTGAAAATTCTGAGATAAATTTCGATCCAATTCAGAACTTAACCTTTCAATCCAAATCGATTTAATATACTGTGGTCAAGAGATTCAAATGCAGCTTGCAGGTCAATTGCAATTATGATTTTCTGCCGTGGTTTGCTTTGACGGAGAGCAGAGTTAAACTGAGAGCGATTGTGTCTGTTTTGAAGATAACGATCAAAATATTTCTAATAATGATGTATAAAAATCTTTTTAAATTTTGACGGTATTATTTACTTGTACAAAAAAATATGCTGGTGATTAGTAATAACTTAATCTAGCAAGTTTCTTTTCTTCTGAGGGGATTCAGTCACTTGAGATAATATGTTACAGTTAAGGTCGAAGAGATTTAAGGCCATGCAGTTTTTACTTTGAACTTCGAAAGTTGAAGTTCAAGTCAATTTTTGTTCGTTTGGTGCATTCCTTGATTCTTTTCTAACTGTCTGTTGGTTATTTTACTATTATTATCGGAACTTTCTGCGCTAATAGCACAGCACACGGCTAATTTTGTTTTCATGTTACCGTGCATTTACCATTTAGTATTTTTTTGTGAAACATTAGAGACACTCATATATAAGTATACAAGCTGTGTTGATTGTTCCCTTTTTTCAGTTTTACCAATCGATCCAGTTTTCTCAATCTGCATTAATTTAGAAAAAGTTTTAAATCATAAAAAAGCTTGAAATTTAAAGAACTTTACGGTCTTATATAATTTTTCTAAAAACTCGAAAGGTTTTTTCAGTCTCCTCGCGTTCATTGACACTTTTCAAACCGTCTGTTGGCTATGTTCTGAGTTTGCCCTCTTCATATGAACTCTGTGTGTTTTGTAGATCCCGGAGTTGTTGCGTTTCTTCTTCATCTGGATTTTGTTCATGCTGGCATTTGGGGTGATCGTGAAGAGTGTGTCGGAGCCAAAGAGGTATGGCGAAGTGTCCTTCGTGGACATGCTGCAAATAGTGGACATGAGCTACTGGCAGACATACGGGGAGCTGTTCCTGGAGGATCTGCAAGACGACGAGAAGTTGACAAGTACTTTTTAAATTTGATTGACAAGTACTTGATGCAAATTGCCTTATGAACGATTTCGATTTAAGTTTCGAAGCAAATTGCTTTATGGGAAACTGCAAGAGAGACCTCGACTCAATCTTGTCATCATCTTTATTATTTTCAGCATTCTTTACACTTGCGAAGCGAGTGTATCAGTAGGAACCTCCTTTTTTTCCAATCTAAGTCGCAAATATTGGTGCCACTTTGGGGCACTTTCACAGCTTTTTGATAGCATGTACTTTGACATTCGAATAGCAATAAGTAAAACAGCTGATGCGTTTTTAATTCATCAAATGAACCGAAAAAAGCTATTTTTTTCAACGAACAACAATAATAAAAACTCGATTTCACAAGTTTTTTAACTCGCAATGTATCTCGCAATTTTGTGAAATGCTTTATTTATACATAATCTAGTTTCATATTTTGCAATTTGTTACATGCAAAGTTAGTGTGGATGCCTTTGGTTTGATATATTCCAAATTATTACGTGCAAAATTGAGTCTTTTTGTGTTTGGTGCCACTTTTGCTGAATGCATTTGCAAGTTGTTAGCATATGTAGCTGCTTTATTCGTGATTAGTATTTGTCGGTTGTTAAGCTTGCGTGGCTGAGCGGCTAGTGCGTGAGACTCAAAATCTCTTGATTGCAGTAGACAGCAGATTCAAATTCTATACGTGGCCGAGATTTTTGCTAATTCGAGCCTTACTTTTACCTTTTCTTGTTTCACTTGATAGAGCTACTTTTTGGTCCTGTTCTCGCAAGTGTTTGCGAGGCGCAGATTCGCCTCTGTGGTGAATAAAACTAAGTAACACTTTGTATTTTTTGTCACAACTTAAAAACGGAACTTGGGTTTTCTGGATAATGTTCGAAAGGTGACCCGACACCATAATGTTTGCGTAATCATTGATGAAAAAAAACACTAGACTATCGCTCTACAAGTAAACTAGTGGACAAAATTAAGCGCAAATTCAGCTTTTTGCATTCTAAGTTACCTTTTTTAAAGTTCACTTTGAACTAAATTTACTTCGATTCTCAACAAAATTTTAACTTAGACCAAGAGCAAATGATCAGAGCTACCCCCTGAAATTATCAATTTTTGGTTTCAAAGCTTAACAAATTTAATGCGGGTCTGACAATGCCAGATTTTCCCATCTGCACCAAGTTTTGCTTGGTTTTGAACTCTTTCTCCAAAAAGAGGTTTAAAAAAATTAGTTCATGCTACGTGAAATATTCTCAGAGAGAAATTCGAAATAACTTTACTCAAATCGGCTGTATATTTCTTTTTCACGCTGATTGAAAAGCTCAAGGCAGGTGAGGAAATCTGGCATTTTCAGTCCCTGATCACACTGGCATGTCTTTAAAACCGTTAATTACACAAGCATAGCTTGTGTTATAGTATGAACTATCTTTTTTTTCCAACCTAATTCGCAAATATTGCTGCGACGCAAATATTGTTGCAATAAAATTTGTTCACTTTGAAAATTTTCGTTTTGATCAATACCAGCTAATAAGTAAAGCTAATGCTAAGGATATTAACACCGACTATTAGTGTTCCGACTTTCGTAACAAAAGTAAAGGAATATTTGTGCTCGGGGTGGTTTTTGTTTCTTCAGACAATTTTTGACTTTTTATCTGGGCATTTTGACGGAATTTTTAAAAATGATTCAAAATACATAATTGTCTTGAGCTTAAATTAGAAAAGATTTTTGATTTTTTTCTCCTGATTGTAATTTCACTAACTTTGACTTCGTATTTGATCCTTGTTTGTTTTTTATCGCTGAAAAACTCTATTATGCCCAAATGGTTTCGGCTTGTTTTTTTTGGCTCAGTGTACTATTTTTGAGTTGTTTCAATGGAAAATTTTATTCTATGCACCCCTCTAGATTGAACAAAATGCTAAAGATTTTAATAGAATTAATAGATTTCATGACCTTATTTTTTGAACTTTTTGTTTTAATATTTTCTTTTTTTTTCCGCTTGATAGTTTTCGGCTTACTACTGTTGCGATCAGCTTGGTGTGTTATTACGAACTTTCGTTTTTTAAACCCAACTTGCAAACAAAATTTTTTATTAAAGATGTTCTCTTTTTTCGAAATTTCACTGTAGCATTTGAAATTTCATAACATCTGTTCTCTGTTTTTCTTTTGGCTTTTCCGTGGCTGAGTTGTTAGTTTGTGGGAATCCTAATTTCTAGTTTGCAGGTTGAAATCTCAAAAGTAGCCGAAATTTTTTGCTTATTCGCGGCTGATTTGAATTTTTATTGTTGCTTTAAATAGAGCTGCTTTTTGCCGTTTTTTGCAAGTGTTTGCGAAGCATAGCTTCGCTTTTCTCGGTATTAATTTTTCCTAATTGCCTCGTTTTGGGTTTTTTGACAAGCGAAAATAATAGGTATCTGCTTTGAGAATGAGGCGGACCTAAACTTTTTATAAGTCATAAGTCATAAGTCTTATTGATTTTTTTCGGCTTAAATGGTTTCTGCATGTTGTTGCTGCTGTTGTTGTGGCCTCGTCTCGTTCATAGGCAGCGAGTTTTGTTTGTTTTTGTTGTTTCTTCGTCTTCGAAGGAGATGAAGTTTTGTTTGAGTTGCTTCGTCTCATTCACAGTCCAGTGTCGTTATCCCCGACGGGATATTCAGGGCATACCGCATTTGTGGAAAACCTGAACGTCGTTTTGACACCGACTTCGTCTAAATAGATCTTTCGTTTTATGTGCTGTTGTGAGGTCAGCATACTCCGGCATGCTAAATCTTTCTTGAAGGAACGTAAGCACTCCCGATCCGCCGTGCTATCTGCGCCAAAGAAGTTCAGCTACATGAAGGGGGTCAGTCCTGAGTTTCAGGACATGTAGATCTGTCCATCTGTCTCGACAGTTAGATATGTGATGACACCGACGTTCGGGATTTTAGAGTCTAATCTACTCCGGTAATTATTCTGCAAGGGAGAGTATCCTGATCGGATCTGAGCAAGTTTGCACGAGCCTATTTTCACTATAGTCTTTAGAATTGAGCAATTTGTTAGGGTGGTTCTTTTTCTAGTCTTTAACTCTTTTAGTGTGAAAATTCTTAAAGCCCTTTTTGTAAGGTGTATGATTTGTTTGTGCTGTATTTGTAAGCAGGGGAGCAATTTTTCGATGAAACAAGATTTGTAGTGTTGGCGTGAGCGTTCTTGTACTACTTTTTACTGTTGTTTCATGATCCGCTCGGCTCGGATGGTGGCTGCCAACTAAGAACTGTTTTGATAGCATTGCGTTTTGCTCACGCACCGGGAGAATCTCTGTTTAATTGTGCAGGCTGTCTATATTTCTCATTCTTACACAGCCGGTAAGTTTTCAATGCGTCATTTTGTTTAACTTGTAGCTTATTCCAGTGTGTAGCACTGAAGATGGGTGACCATATTGGTGCCGCGTAGCTCATAACACTACGACTGCTGGCCTTGTAGGTCATCGATAAAGTCTCCTTTGTGCAGCCCCACTTAGTACTGGCTAATTTTTCAGCATAATGTTCCTTGATTGTAGTCGTGAACAGATAATTTGTGTCTGTGCTCCAAAGTTACTCATGTTGTGAAATGTGACACCAAGGATTTTGTGATTTTTGGATGTTTTTTAGGGATAAACCCCTATACTAAACCTTCGTTTTAAATTTTACTTTGGCAGACCATGTGGTAAATAATATGTCGATATATTTATCATCTAGAGATAGATTAAGGTGTCTTTCTATGAGCCAATTTGGGAGTTTTTCCTTGTGTGCGTTCAAGGGTAAATGTAGTCGCGATGAATTGGGCCCAGATGTGAAAAGTTACTGTCATATGAATAGGTGACTCTTTTAGTGTTGTCACTGGGTTGTGGCATGGAGCATATGTCAGGTTAAAGAGAGCCGATGAGAGAACTCCTTCTTGTGGGACTCCATTTTTGACTTTACGCATGCTTGATGCCTGATTTCTAAACTCGACGTAAGTGAGTCTGCCTGGTTAATTTGAGAGCAGCCACCGTTTTGTGTTGTTAGTGAGGAAGGTAAAAAACATGTCATTAAGAAGAACTCGGAGGTTAACCTATCAAATAGGGCAGTTGGGTCTAAAGCAACAAATAGCGTTCTATGAGAGTGTTTTTTAAGGCCCTCGGTTATTGTGTGGTTGATGCAAGTTAAGGCTGTTACTGTCGACCGTGTTTTTTAGAAGCCATGATGATTAGCCAGTTCAATGAGCTGGTTCAGTTCGGGTAGGAAATGTCTTTCTAATTATAGCCACGAGAGACTGCAGTGCCTTTAGATTTTTCAGGATCTTCGCCGGTTCTTGTAGTGGGATAGTTCGACCGGTCTTCCAGTTATGTAGGATCATTGCGTTGTTAAGTGATGTGTTAACAACGTTGGTGATGTATGTTATGCCAACCAGTCCAAGTTAGTGAAAGTGAATTGTTGCAGTCTTTTTAGGACCCAGGGCTTCACCCTTTTTTAAATGGTAGTTCTTACTTCTACAGCCGTGAAGTTGGTGGCTTTTAGGAGGAGTTTTCTTATTTTACGCATAATGTTCTTTCTTTCTCTCAGGTTTATCTGGATGCGGGGTATACTGTTCGTTCAAGCTCTTGGTGCACAATTTAGCATCATAGATTTGTGGGCCATCATTTAAAATCATTAGTTTATTAGATGTCTCTGGTGGATTTTGTCCAGAAAAATATATAATGGTCGACCATAACTTGCTTGACTGTACTCCGTGGTCTCACTTTTCTAGGAATGAAATAAGTTTCCGCATCATCTTTGTTACCGCTTGCTTAAGTTTTTTTCCGATGCTAATATTACAATCTTTTTTTGTTGGAAAGATTAAATTTAGCATGGCTGCCTTGAAAATTACTGATAGCGTAAAAAAGTGACGCATTTATGGCTAATAACCTCCATTTCCAGTCTGGTGTCAGCCAGGGTCCTCTCGTTTCTCTTGACCTTTGAAGCTGTTGAGATTAATCCCGCCAGCAACATCGGTGGCACTTGGTTCTCCTTTTCCCTGCCACCTTGCGCGTATCCTTGCCCAGCTTCGTTCGGGCGGAACACCTTCGCCAGCGACATTACGCCCGTTGTGGCCTTTGACTTCACGATTTTCCTTCAACTTTCTCACGCTTGACTTGTACTTCCTCAGTCCTCTCCTAGCTCTCCTGACGTAATTTTTTTAATATTGAATTTTCAACTTATGAAACATTGATCAAGGCATATATAAACATGCCATACAAAAAAGCAGGAGTTTTTTAGCCTGTTTAAAAAAACTATCCAGAGAAACGGAAAAAAACTCCAATTTTTGTGCATCGTGGACTACGTTATGCAGACAAAAAATTAAAATTTGCATGCAATTTTTTTTTTGGAAAATGTTTGTTTGAGTACAAAGTTCGATTTGAGGTTAAAAAAACGAAAAATTTTTGGGGCAATTTCAATTTTACTTTTAAAAATTGTATGAAAATTGTGTGATTAGTATTTTTCCATTTATTTGATGTAGGAAATTGTATGATAAGCTTTTTCGGTGTGGGGAAATTTAAGATAAGCATTTTCGGTTAATGGAGGTCAACCCGGGTCGTGTGAAAAGTAATAAAAATGTTCTATATGGAGTGTGTTACATAATCATGTTACCTAATTTTGGGTGGATAAAAAAACATCTCCGGAAATTTGAAGTGTTTTCCTGTCAATAGCTGAGCAATTCATTGGGTGATGATGATTCTTTCCCTTGCCGATAGAGAGAGGGTATTAATCTTGTTTGTTCAGACTGTACGAAGCACTATGACGACGGGAGTGGTCTGCAGCCCTGTCCCTTCCTACCCGAAGCCAGCCTCTTCTTCACAGCCATCTACATGATCATAGGCAACATCCTCCTTATGAACTTGCTCATCGCACTCTTCACGTATGTCTTGTCTTCCTTCTTCTTCTGGCTCGTCTCCAGTTTTTTTCAGAAATTCGGTTTACAAAAGCCTAATAGAAGTGAACTTTTATGTTCTAAGCTGCAATAAAACATGGCAGCGTGACCAAAGTATTTGAACGTTTCTTTCGTGTAAATTGGCGTCTGAACATTTTAAATTCACACAATTTTTGGAAAAATTTGTTATGTGGGTTTACGAGTGGGGAGATTGGAAAGTAGAAAAGAGCCATTTTTCTTTTCGATATAGACGATCAACCGGCCTTACTCAGGTTGAGATCAGCAATTCATTTTTAAAATTTCAAAAACGTGCCAAAGGGTATTCTTCGAATGAATAATTTATAGTCGTGGACCAAATCTGGATAGCAAATCTAATTTGATTTTGATAGTCTGGTAGCTAGTCACGAATGTCTGAACATAGTTCATATGGGCCTTTGATCAGAACGATAGATCTTAGCTTATGATCTCTACACATAATCTCAACTTAGTCAGATAAACAATTTCTCTGAGTTTAAAATCTTTAAAAACAATTTAAAATCTTTATGCTATCGCTTAATTAGCCAAATATACTCATGACAACGTGAAATAAATGAATTGCCTAATTTGTACAGCATATTCAACATTTCAGCGAAAATTTGCGTCGGTGCATTGAGTTAGAAAACATCTGGAAACATTAGGTTAGGTCGAGAAAATTGGGAAATACTCAATCTGTATTGCGATTGTCTGGAGACAACCTTAATTTGTTTGGTCGCGATAGTCTGGACATAAAACACGACATTTTCGGCAATGTCAAATTGTATATGTATAAATTGTCTCTAAATACATTGCAGTGTTCATGGTTGTGTAATTTTGTTCTAGTTCTATCTATGAGCAAGTGAATGAGAAGTCGTTGACAGACTGGAAGAATAAGCGACTGGACGTGATAGTGGAGTACCACACTCGACCGCCCATCCCCCCTCCCTTCTCCATCATCTACCACCTGTTCCTACTGCTCAGATGGAAGAGCCACATGCAGGAGGTCAAACAGTCCAAGGGACTCAGTGAGTAGTAATAATGCACCAACTGAACGACCCCCCCTTCCCCCCCCCCCCTAAAGGGTGAAATGTTTCTGTTCAACTGTCTGGTGGCTATGCTTGAGTTATAACATTTGAGTTATAAAAATTTATTACTGGTTTGAATGTATTTGACTATGAATCGTGTTGTTTTGACTATGACTCGTTATCGAAGTTTTAAAAAAATGAGAAATAAAATTTGAATTGTCAGTGGTTTTCTTTTTTTTTGGTGGTTTAGCTGAGAAAAAGCCGAATAAGAAAATGTAATTGACTTTTGGGTTAGATGTTGAATTATTTCAGCGTTGGATGTGAGCACCTCCCGGATGTATGAGTTGTTAATGTTCGAAGAGGAGGTGAAGGAGGAGTTCATGATGGAGAGGAGTAGCAGACAGGGGGAGGACGTGTCCAAACAAGTCGTACAACTTACCCAGAAGTAGGAACCACCGTCATAAATCATAGGCTGTTCTGACTTTTTCTTAGTTTCTCACCGCCTTCCACCTCCGTCCCATAATTAAAATTCTTAAAGTTGTTCCAGATGTCAAAATTTTTTACTGGCATCGTTTCTACGTAAAGAAAAATTTTCAAATTTATTAAATTGGACAATAGGATAGCAGTTAAGACACCTCAGTTTAGCAGCAAGAATGTAGAGAAACAATGGGAAAGAGCAACTTCTCTTTTTCTTGTTGAAAGTAGATTTATAGAAATGATAATTGCAAGGCTATTTATTAAAAAAAGTATTTCGACTTTTTTTAAAAACTTTTCTTGAGATAAGCAATGATTTTGCAATTGTTTAGTAGTTACTTTAGAAAAATTCTAAAGTGGTTCCGCTCCCGAAGCCAAACAAAGACCTCAACTCGTTGGAATCTTACCTCCCTGTTTCGATTTTCAGTCCAGCTGTTTAAAGTTCAGAATCTTTGATCCATCACACACTGGCCAAAATCCTTTTCAAAGCTAATCATCAGCATGGTTTTCCACCGATCCACTCAACCACCACAGCATTTTTTTTCAACTTTTAACTAATAAAGGCCTCCGAATAGGACAGTCCTAGTAACACTTGGTTTATCAAACTCTTTCGACATGGTCAGCCATTATACCCTACTGAATCTCTTTCATGGCACGAGCTTAACGTGAAGCCTAATAAAGTGGTTGTCAAATCACCTGAGTGGGTGGTGGGCAACAATCAAAAACTATGTTCAAGGATACCTTGTCAAAATCTAGAAGGGGTCATACAGGCGTCCGTCAAAGCTGTCTTATCCCCAATATTATTTAATTTTAACGTTAATGACTCTTCATTATTGCCCCCGATGTAAAACTGCAAGCTTACGCGGACGACTTCCACCTTTTTGTCTACTCCAAAGTTTATATGGCCTAATCAATCTTATCCAAAATCTAGCACATAAAATTACACATATGTTTTTGCCTTGAGGTTTTTTCTTCGAAAGATTTGGCCAGCTTTTCTTCTCTTAACAATGATTTTGACAACGTTCCGATAATGAAAATGAATAACGCAAATCTGTCCGTCGAGAAATATTCCTAAATACTTAGTGCCGTCTTCGATCGGTCCCTAAATTTTGCTGAATTTTGCGAGGAACATCCGCAAAACCCGTGCGCATGATTACGATCCTGAAGGTTCTATCCGGGACTATTTGGGATCTGTCCAAAGAAATTTTATTGGTTACTCTTAAAGCTTTGGTAAGACAAATTTTAGGTTATGCGAGTCCTGCCTGGTCACATAATGCCAGTGAACAGATCCTTAAACAAATTGCAATCAGTGAAAAATGCTGCTCTCTGCGTATTAACAGGGCGCATAGAGATAAGCGCAAAAGATCTTTAACATTCAGATTGTTACTTTTTGATCGTGGAAAATCGCATCCGCTACTATGCTACTAAGTCCTGCCTCTCAGACCACCTGATATCTCCGCCGCCAAACAATCACTCCCTCGTTCCACTATTAGCAGAAGCACCACATCCCATTTGTGAGCCGAGTACAGCTCCTTCTTCAATACGTACCTGAATCGTATTGAACCCAACTATCTCTCAAACTACCCCGGCTCTACTTCCCCCATACCAATCTCCATTTTTCAACCTGATCCCGGAACCTCTTTTTAAAACTCCAATAGACATTTGGCTTCGTCCAACCATAATTGCGACCTTTCTGGGGCTTGGTTTGTGCATGCAGGCCGTGTCCTCGCGGGGCTTAAGCTAACAACAGACATTTTTTCATGAAAAAAACTTTGTTCAACGAACTGGTTTGAAGTCAATTCTTGTGCATAATTTTTCTATTCCTACAACCACCTTCTGAAGTTTTTGTTTTCAAAATTTCATTCTGTTTGGATTTTTCAATCTTCGTGAAAGATTTACATTTCTTTTAATTTTTCACAGTTTTTTTTATCTATAGCTTGTTTTATCCTTTTCTTGGCTCAACGGGAGTTTGCCTAAGTTGTTGGCTTATTCACCTCTTTGCTCATTTTGCTTGATGCATTGCTATTAAGAGTCGATGAACCTTCTGAAGACTCTTATACAGGTCTTGATGATTTCTTGTTTTTTTTCGCTGTTCGTCTTTGATCGTTTTTTCAGTTCAGATCGCTTCATTTGTTAAGGACGGTAAACACCACGCTCGAAAAATGCAGAGATCAAGAAAAAATTATTGATTTCTACAGTCACAGGGCATAAAGTTGCCCTGTGACTGCAGGGCATAATGTTTTTGATTTCAACGATAAAATTAACGAAACTTATCTTCACGCTTTACTCGTTTTCTCTGCAACTTTTGTGAGATACAGGATTCAATTTTTGTTATAAGGTCGATGAAATTATCTGAAAGGGCCTAACTGGGCCGAAAGTTGAAAAATTTTGTTTTGAAGGCGCAAATTAGCTAACTTATCATAACTACTTTCACAGGTGTTCTTGCTGTGGAAAAAACCTCATAAACAATATAAGGAATTCGAATTAATGGGCTCAATTTTGTTCTTTGGGAGGTTGATGAGCTTGAATTACATATTATGATCCCTAAAAATGACCAGTAACAGAAATAGCAGATTTACTTTGTCCGGCAAATGACCAGTAACAGAAATAGCAGATTTACTTTGTCCGGCGTAAGAAAACGGCTATAATTTTGAGAATAAGTTCGAGCTGATAATCGAATTCAGTCAACACAAGAAACATTCCAGCAAATCTTTTGAAAAACACTGCTCCAATCTAAGCACAGGAGTCTCATTAGCAGGTGTGTTTTGTGTAGGTTTTGTCCATTTTTCTGATATGAGCTCCATGAAACTTTTGTGTATGTGTCGGGAAAACAGATGACCGTTTCTCGACGCCGGACCAACTAACTCCGTTAATTCTTTTTATGTCCTTTTTAGGCAACATAATAAGTAAGTCTAGCTCATAGGCTTTCCAGTGAACTTATTTGAGCCCAATAATTAAAAATCCTTTTAATGTTTGTGAAGTTGTTTCCACAGCAAGAACACCTGTGAAATTAGTGGTAATAAGCCTGCTAATTTACGCCTTCAAAGCAAGAAATTTCTTCTTTTGGCCTGGTTAAGCCCTTTCAAATAATTTATCTACCCTCTGTCAAAATTTGAATCCTGTATATTAAATAGATGCAAAAAACGAACAAAATGTGAAGAAAAAGCTCGTTCATTTTCTCGTTCAAATCAAAAAGCTACATCTTCTATGTCCCGTTACTGTAGTTTCGAAAATGAATTCATTTATCAGCTTTCCCAGCAAAATAAAACTACCGAATAATCCAGTTTTCTCAATATGGGTCAATTTTATCAAAAAAGTGCATTCATCAAGTTCAGTTCGTTTCCTTTGTAAAGTAAGGCAAACTCCACTCGAACATATGGCTATTCAAAAAATGACCTTAGACTACTAAAAAAAGGCCTTAGAGATGACCTATTTTTGAAATTCGAAAGTTTCAGTTTTTTTCTAAAAAGAAGTCAGTTTTTTTTTCATGTTCACTTGTATTGGCTCTTGTCTAACTGTCTGTTGGCTATGTTTTTATGCTGACAATTGTCTTTCTAGTTGTTTTTGCTCAAAGTGAGTTTTGTGATTCAACATCGATAGATCTAGTTGTTTTTCACTATTTTCATTTTTTGTTTTTTCGATTTCTGCCCTCTTTTTTCCATTAGCTTTACATACTATATTTGTGATAATCGGAGTTGAGTTACTCCCTTTTTACTGTGTCATTAGCTCTTTTTTCTGATTGGTTTCAATGCCAAAAAATTCCCTAGCTCAACTGAAAAGTCTGAAACAGCGTTTTTGAATAAAACTTGGAACATCGTTTTGAAGCTCTTGTGGAGTTTCACAATTTTTGACAGTTGAAAGTTTTGGTTTATTTCTGCCTAGATTCGACGAGGCTGACAAAGGACTTAGAACACAAATAGCACTGCTGGAGAATCAATCTAGAGAGAACGGAAAACAACTAGCTCAAATCCAGGAAATGCTTCAACAGCTTCTGGACAAGCAAAGTTAAACAGAGTTTTGTTGCGAATTAGAAAGGCTCAAAGAGTAAAGTGGATATATTCTGGTCATCATTGAACACGTCAAAACTTCATTCTTTTCTATTTGCGAATTCTAACTCACCAAATTTTATAGAAAACAAAAATCAGTCTGATGTATGAAATCTCAAATAGTTTACGCAAGCTCAATTGAAAATTTAACGTTTCCTAAATTTTGAAAGAACATGAGTCAAAAAAATTTGTCGAATAAATGGCGTTCTCCAAAAATTTTAGTCATTTATTTCGAAGCATTGTCTGTATTGACTCAACCTTTTCACACAAGCCAGCCGTAGTGTATTATTACAAAGAACTTTTTTCTTACCTAAGTCTCAAATAAAAGTGCTCATTTGGTGGAATTTTGATACATTTCAGTTTAATGTTTTTATGCCTATTTAAGCTCAAGCAATAACAAGCATCTGCTGCTGCCTTATTTTTGGCTATTGTTTGGTCTTGTTTGAGAAAAAATACAGGTATTATGAAAGTGTATGGGTATTGTTGTTTTTTGCAACGCTTTGGAAAATGTTTGCACTTTTCGCTAAATTCTATTTTTTTTTCGAAAAAATTGAACCAATTGAAAAACCGGCTGCTCTTTTTTGTGCTTGAATATTTCGCTAGTTTGTTTTCATTGTAACCCACGTTCTACCGCTTTCGAAGATGGATTCAGTAGATGGGTTTTTGACCTATTTGTTTTAGATTTTTTCATTTTCCCAAATGTTAAATGCACAAAACTGAGATGAGGGTTTCAATCAAAAAAATAAATTATGGTGATCTCCTCTTCTCAAGAGGCTATTCCCCAAGTTCAGTAGAAAAAGCTTAAACAAGCCCATATTTTGACATTTTGTTAAAATTTTAAAGATTTGATTTCTACAAAAATAAACCTGCCAAATCGGAGATTCAGGTCTTAACAGCAAGTAAAACAATCAATTATGCAAAGATTTTCTGCGGAAGCGGCTTTGCCCTGCATTTTGAAAAAATATATGGCCATGATAAAGTCCGTTTTTTGAATTTTTGCCCGATTTTTGGAAACTTATTCTTTTTTCAAAAAATAACTTGATGATTCTGAGGTTGATAGTTCATTCGAACTAATATGGTGCTATCTGTTTCACACTATTTATTTGTAGAAAAGCTGAAATCGCTTCGTAAAAATCCATTTTTGAAACTTTTACCGTTTAGAAATTTTATCATTGTTCCCAGAATCTATTAGATCATTTTGATATCAGGGGTTCTACTAAAAACCAGGATGGAAGCCTTCCCGCATAAAAGGCTAACCCCATATTTTAGTAGGAAAATTTTTCGAAATTAGTCAAATCAAGTTCTTGAGATTTGATGATTTTCTGGAATCACTACTTTTTTCAAAAACTATCCAGTCAAATCTGAGATAAAGACTTCAATTGAAAGAACGAGTAGTAGTTTTCTCCTTAGAATAAGCGGCTAATTCCCTATTTCACTGGGGCTTTGCGTAACTCCTTTTTTTTGGAAAATTACGCTTTTCCGTGTCAGTTCAACTTGATTAAAAATAATAAAACAGGTGGATCCAGCATTAGCTGGGCCAAAAATTTGCTTCGAAGCGACCGTGGCGCAGATGCGAGGACGTTGCTCGAATTTTTGATACGGAGCATAGGCCATTTGATAGAAACTGTAGCTGCCTTATTGGTGGCTAGTGTTCGCTAAATTACAAGCGTTCGAAGTTTTTTTCTCAAACTATTTTGAATCTTTTCCTTGTTTCCCTACTTTGTTTGGCCTGTTAAGAGCTCTTTTTTGCATCTTCGCTTGTGTTTACAAAGAGCAGTTTCGTTTTTTTGTATAGTTTTCATATTACTGTCAATGAAGTTTTTATATAGGTCGTGATGATTGTTTTTTGAAATCTCAAAATTTGTTCACGCTCAAATGTACTTTTTCGCGGTTTGACTTTTCAGTTCAATTTGAGCTCAAATCATTTTTTTGTTGAAAGAAATGCAAAGTCCACTATTAAATAGCAAAAGTATTAAAGTCGCAAAAATTGTGTTCGAATTCTAATTTCGAATGTGAGTTTTACTTACCAAATTTTGCAGCGGAATAAAAATTTCAATTTTTTATCCCGTTTTTTGAAATTTGAAAAATTTTATTACAAAAGTGTTATTAAATAAATTGTTATAGAAATTCAATAAAATTGAAAGTCATCTTTTTTTTGTTGAATTTTGTCAGTTTTCTTGAGTTTAAGGATCACGTGTGGTTTTCTCCGGAAGTTTTTCAAATTTGTTCACACTAATGTATATTTTTCGGTTGTCTGACTTTAATTTTCTTTAAAACCGTTTCCTTAATGGAAAGCTAATTACGCTCCCGACCAAAATTGCCCAAATTTTGACCTTCAAATATCTTGAAATTGTGAAAAACTTGAAGATAACGCATTTATACTGTAAAAGATTAAGATTTTTGTCCTTTACTTTGGTCGCGTTGAATTTTTGTTTTTTTTTTGAGAAAAAATAATAAATTTTGTTCGTCTGTTGAATTTTTTGAGGCTAGTTTTCTTTTCAAGTTCAGTTACTTCCCAATGTTAAGCGGCTAATTCCCTATTTCACTGGGGCTTTGCGTAACTCCCTTTTTTTGGAGAATTACGCTTTTCCGTGTCAGTTCAACTTGATTAAAAATAATAAAACAGGTGGATCCAGCATTAGCTGGGCCAATAGTTTGCTTCGAAGCGACCGTGGCGCAGATGCGAGGACGTTGCTCGAATTTTTGATACGGAGCATAGGCCATTTGATAGAAACTGTAGCTGCCTTATTGGTGGCTAGTGTTCGCCAAATTACAAGCTTTCGAAGTTTTTTTCTCAAACTATTTTCAATCTTTTCCTTGTTTCCCTACTTTGTTTGGCCTGTTAAGAGCTCTTTTTTGCATCTTCGCTTGTGTTTACAAAGAGCAGTTTCGTTTTTTTTGTATAGTTTTCATATTACTGTCAATGAAGTTTTTATATAGGTCGTGATGATTGTTTTTTGAAATCTCAAAATTTGTTCACGCTCAAATGTACTTTTTCGCGGTTTGACTTTTCAGTTCAATTTGAGCTCAAATCTTTTTTTTGTTGAAAGAAATGCAAAGTCCACTATTAAATAGCAAAAGTATTAAAGTCGCAAAAATTGTGTTCGAATTCTAATTTCGAATTTGAGTTTTTCTTACCAAATTTTGCAGCGGAATAAAAATTTCAATTTTTTATCCCGTTTTTTGAAATTTGAAAAATTTTATTACAAAAGTGTCTTTAAATAAATTGTTCTAGAAATTCAATAAAATTGAAAGTCATCTTTTTTTTCGTTGAATTTTGTCAGTAACTTTTTTACTTGCGTGTTTTTGACTGTTTTCTTAATGTCTGTTGGTTATGTTTTAGTTTTCTTGAGTTTAAGGATCACGTGTGGTTTTCTCCGGAACTTTTTCAAATTTGTTCACACTAATGTATATTTTTCGGTTGTCTGACTTTAATTTTCTCTAAAACCGTTTCCTTAATGGAAAGCTAATTACGCTCCCGACCAAAATTGCCCAAATTTTGACCTTCAAATATCTTGAAATTGTGAAAAACTTGAAGGTAACGCATTTATACTGTAAAAGATTAAGATTTTTGTCCTTTACTTTGGTCGCGTTGAATTTTTGTTTTTTTTTTGAGAAAAAATAAAAAATTTTGTTCGTCTGTTGAATTTTTTGAGGCTAGTTTTCTTTTCAAGTTCAGTTACTTCCCAATGTTAAGCGGCTAATTCCCTATTTCACTGGGGCTTTGCGTAACTCCCTTTTTTTGGAAAATTACGCTTTTCCGTGTCAGTTCAACTTGAATAAAAATAATAAAACAGGTGGATCCAGCATTAGCTGGGCCAATAGTTTGCTTCGAAGCGACCGTGGCGCAGATGCGAGGACGTTGCTCGAATTTTTGATACGGAGCATAGGCCATTTGATAGAAACTGTAGCTGCCTTATTGGTGGCTAGTGTTCGCTAAATTACAAGCGTTCGAAGTTTTTTTCTCAAACTATTTTCAATCTTTTCCTTGTTTCCCTACTTTGTTTGGCCTGTTAAGAGCTCTTTTTTGCATCTTCGCTTGTGTTTACAAAGAGCAGTTTCGTTTTTTTGTATAGTTTTCATATTACTGTCAATGAAGTTTTTATATAGGTCGTGATGATTGTTTTTTGAAATCTCAAAATTTGTTCACGCTCAAATGTACTTTTTCGCGGTTTGACTTTTCAGTTCAATTTGAGCTCAAATCATTTCTTTGTTGAAAGAAATGCAAAGTCCACTATTAAATAGCAAAAGTATTAAAGTCGCAAAAATTGTGTTCGAATTCTAATTTCGAATTTGAGTTTTTCTTACCAAATTTTGCAGCGGAATAAAAATTTCAATTTTTTATCCCGTTTTTTGAAATTTGAAAAATTTTATTACAAAAGTGTCTTTAAATAAATTGTTCTAGAAATTCAATAAAATTGAAAGTCATCTTTTTTTTCGTTGAATTTTGTCAGTAACTTTTTTACTTGCGTGTTTTTGACTGTTTTCTTAAAGTCTGTTGGTTATGTTTTAGTTTTCTTGAGTTTAAGGATCACGTGTGGTTTTCTCCGGAACTTTTTCAAATTTGTTCACACTAATGTATATTTTTCGGTTGTCTGACTTTAATTTTCTTTAAAACCGTTTGCTTAATGGAAAGCTAATTACGCTCCCGACCAAAATTGCCCAAATTTTGACCTTCAATAATCTTGAAATTGTGAAAAACTTGAAGGTAACGCATTTATACTGTAAAAGATTGAGATTTTTGTCCTTTACTTTGGTCGCGTTGAATTTTTGTTTTTTTTGAGAAAAAATAATAAATTTTGTTCGTCTGTTGAATTTTTGAGGCTAGTTTTCTTTTCAAGTTCAGTTACTTCCCAATGTTAAGCGGCTAATTCCCTATTTCACTGGGGCTTTGCGTAACTCCCTTTTTTTGGAAAATTACGCTTTTCCGTGTCAGTTCAACTTGATTAAAATAAATAAAACAGGTGGATCCAGCATTAGCTGGGCCAATAGTTTGCTTCGAAGCGACCGTGGCGCAGATGCGAGGACGTTGCTCGAATTTTTGATACGGAGCATAGGCCATTTGATAGAAACTGTAGCTGCCTTATTGGTGGCTAGTGTTCGCTAAATTACAAGCATTCGAAGTTTTTTTCTCAAACTATTTTCAATCTTTTCCTTGTTT